TCTAGATTTTTTGACAAACAGCGAATCCAGTCCTTCCAGCTTATTTTGTAGCCTGCTATTAATATCACCAATCTTTTCCTCTCGTTGTTGAATTTTTGTTGTTAGCGCTGTCATTGCATTCAGTATTTCCTGCTCATTCTCCAGAAATTCCTGTAACGACACAGGGTAGAATTTCTTTGTTTTAAAAAGAAAAAAACAAAGACCTCACAAAATGTTAAGAAACTTGTTTTATGTTGTTTTCCCACAGCTTGACTGGCCACCAGACCTGTAGCCCTGCAGGAAGCTGAAGAGATTTTTCACTAACTACCCAGTTCTTGCGTGAAAAAAGCAAAGTTTGCTTTTCTAATGGAATAACTGGTGAAAAACTTTCTTACGTGATAGTTTGGTTTAATTCCTGTTCAAAATGAAAGTTGTCCCCACCTGGAAAAGTATTAAAAGGCTGATGACCTGAATGTAGAACAGCAACAATGTATTAGATACAGAGAGACTGAACAAGTTTAAGAATTGAACATAAGATCAGCAAAAGGAACAATATTGGGAAAAATTATTTTTATAGTCAGGACTTTTATACAATGCTGGAAAACATAGGTTTAATACTTTGCCCCTGTATCACTTCAATGACTGTAGTGCCTTATTTACAATATGATTTTTTTTTTTTTTACTCATTAAGTGAAATATATTTGTACAAAATGTTACGATAGAAAATTGAAATTCACCTTTTGAATAAGGCTCTCCTCTGACCATCCCTTCAGAAGAAGATCTGCAAGAGAGTCAACAGTTAAAATGTGGTAGATTGCTGTGCTAAAAAAAGACATAAGGACTGAAAGATACTCTTTTAAAAAAGTCTTTTTTTGTTTTGAAATCATTATTAACATATTACCATGAAGCGCTGCTAGGTCATTCAGGATTTTGACTGTGGCTGACTTGTGCTTTTCTGCTTCAGAATTAATTTCAAAAATACCTTCTTTTATCTGCGTATTGAACTGTGAAAAAAAAATTACAACAATAATTTTTCTAAATTCTTCTAAATTATTTCCAGTTTCACTGTTTCAATAGAGGTCAGGAAGAATAAACTGAGTTTTAGCTTACAGAAATACAAAGGTCAATGTATTCCTGTGGATGCACTTTCTTTCAACAACGACATCCATTTCATCTGGTTGAACAAATTTTAACAGTTGCCAAAATCAACAGAAGCCAGCTATGTCTATGCTACCAAATAAACTGGATGAGGATGCTGAGGACAGCCAGAGCGGCACAGGTCGTATGCAAACAGGGAAACTCTTCTTCACCCACTCCCCCAAAATCGGATGGACTCATTCACGTTGGCTCAGCTCTACCAGAACCCAGCTTGTGCTGTCCTACGTTTGGCTGAGATGGGTCAGGTGGCCCAGGGCAGGCACAATAAACAGCATTCCCTGGTGCAATGTAGGCGTCAGAAAAATCAGAGCTTCTCGGCTTCTGTTAGTGAACTGAACATGAGGAGAGGGATGTGTGTAACCAAGAGTCTTCTTCCTGAGGGAAGCATTTGTTTCCATAAGGGTATAATTACCTAGAGCTGCAGAGTAGCTCATGCCTAGCATCCGCAGTGCTAGCACACACAGACCAGGCAGCTGCCCTTGCAGCAGTTGAGCTCTGCGCTTGCAGGCAGCAAACACCGCACAGGGTTCAGACTGTCTCAGAAATTTAGTCCCCATGGCCGCACAAATGTGGGTTCAGGTCCAAACGGCAGCCTGGTAACAGGTGGCAATAGGACCACTTTCAGGATCCTTCATGTGTTTTAC